CTCTTATAGTCTCTGAGATCCAGTGAGTGGAAATTATCTGTCAGTCTACTTGTAATACTAACTACTTCATGTGCATAGTTTTTTTTACAACAACTTTTATTTCCTCTTTGTTATTATTATTAATTCCCTTCGAGTTCGTTTATAAATAATAAATGCCATTGCAGTCAATTGCATAGCATTATCTCGATATTGTGGAATGTCTTTAGTTACCAAGTTTCTACAATTAGAAGCCCAAAAAAAGAAACTTTGTTATTGCACTTTGCAAAGTTTTCAAAATGGCCCGCTTATTTGGATTGTAATCCGACTGGCAAGCAATTTAAAATGCGTTTCTTCTTTTTTATTTCGCTAAACGATTGTAACGAAAAAAATAATTCATGTTTTTATGCTCTTCGAATTCCTGTGATAATATCTTATAGCTTACCCTGTGAATAACCCACTCAGAAGCCACGTCCTCTTCGTGTCCCCCCACTGGTCCGATCACGGTTTGCGACAAGCGTTGCAAATAAAAATACAAGCATAACAATGCAGTCAATTTTTGTTTCAATATATATTTCATTTATTGTGCGCTTATTGTGTGTCTTCGCGCACTTAGCATTTCCACATTATCGATGCGCTCGTAAAAGAAAAATGAAAACGAAAACGACAACAACAACGACAACGACAATTCCAGCCACTTGATATCCTTCCGAAATTTTTATTAACATCTTTTTACTGGATTCTTTTATGCGTTGCACAAAATTGCTCAGAGAGTCAATGGAATGGGGGGAAGGCCGGACACAGTGGCCCGACAGAAAACTTCTTGGCAAAAGTTTATAGCACCCACAATTTGAATGCGCTTCACATGCAGGGTTCAAGGACATAGAGTAGAGTGTTCATACATACATGTATGATCAGCAGGCGAGACAAGTCGAAGCATGAACACCGAGATTTTCAGATCCATAGCAGCTAAGAACACAAACCAGGCTTAGATTATCCTTACCCCGATCAAGTTGATTACAAACTATATACATCCTAATTTTTTTATACAGCTAGCATATCGATCTGTTAAGTAAAAAATGACTCCTAATAGTATAACTATGATCTGTATTATATTAAATAAAGTGATTCATTTATTTCGATGTCGTAAATCGTTTATTTTGTATTCATGCGTTCCTCATAGCGCCTCACTATAATCTAAAGTTTCATCATAAAGTTTTATCACAATTTAAAATAATAAATTGAATATATGAAAATTATTATTAATTCATATCAGCATTCCTTTGAGTCGAGCTATGAAAGAGCCGATGACGTTTTTTTTTACGAACATTTATTCTTAAGCCGCGCTTGCCTTTTATATCCATTATATGGATTCGATAAAGGTTGATATTGGCTTTGATTGTACATGATTGACATGAGCAGAGCATCTGGTTACGACTTTCTAACTTCTTCTACTGCTACTGGTGTTTAGAATCTAACAAGTGGAGAAGCTAGGTCTTATAGTCTCCGAGATATACTTGTAGGTAATTATACGATTGGAAAATCGACAAATCGCCATAGGGGGAAGGTGGTGAAATGAATTGGTGAAAATTAAAAAAATAAAAGAAACTTGCAAAAGGCATCTTTGTACAAAACTTGGTGGCTCTAGCTCGTATAGTCTCTAAATAAATTTCGTTCATTTGCGGAAGAAAGGTCGACAAACCATTAAACAAAGACCAAGAGAAGGAATTTAAATAATAACGTTCCATGATTTTAAGTATGCTGGAGCTAAAAATCAAGTTCCCAATTAAATTATAAATTATACAAAATAAATGTAATAATTATAATAAATATAATAGGTATCACATTAATTCTTTAATATTAATTTTAAGTATTCAAAAAAAAAAAATTGAAACTCTTTCAAGGACAAATGTAGAATGCAATCAGTAGAGCTATACTTTTGGCCAAAATTGAAAACAAGGTCTTTTGGCAAGGCCTGTGGGGTGATGAGAGTGTCTCGCAGAAATAATAAAAAATCGCCAGGCTAATATTGACATATATGTGTGTATATGTGTGTGTGTGTGTGTTAACAAATTAAATTTATGTGGCATTCAGTCAGAGCGGACATTGAGCGAAAAGTAATCGATTACTGAAGCCTTAGACATGTTGCCGTTGTACGAGTAGATGCCGCGTCTGGCTGCCTGCCATCCATCCAGCTATCCAGCCATCCAGCCTGCCAACTGATTAGCATAATTTGACGTGTGAACGAAGCGTTGGCGGCGACACGACAGGCCCCCAAACAAGCTCCCAGAACCAAACTCTGGGCCCCTATCTTCGCCCTCGTCTTGAAGCTGTGCTGGAAATGCGCACGCCGTTCGTTGCCCGCCAATGCAAAACATTTTTTTTCAATCTTGCTAGGAAATTGTTCGATTTCAAACTAAATGCTGAATGGGAGAATGCCAATGATGGCGATACGATACGATACGATGCCGACATGTCATCATCAGAAATGGTTGCGATGGCCATAGACAGGCGACAACTTCATTTTCTGAACCGATGCAAAAATTGTTTAAATCGAAGATATGCCAGCTGGCAGACAACAAAACATTGCCACACAATTTAAATGCATCAGTTTCTACAAGGTGCGTTCCAAAGTAAACAGGACTTTTTGAATCTAGCGCCCCCTGGTGGCGCTACCTATATGTCGAGAATCTGCTAACTTTATCGATTGTCCGGTGAGAATTTCATGACATTTCATCGATTGGAAGTGAAGTTATTGCGTTTTAAGTGTCAGTATGTTTGTGTTAGAGCCAACAATAAATTTTGTTTTAAAATTGGTAACACTTTACCAAAACGTTTCAATTGATGGAACAAGTTCATGGCGATGATTGCCTATCCCGTAGCACAGTGCACGAGTGGTTTCAACGTTTTCAAAGTGACGACCAAGAATTGCTCAGAATCGACCGACGCTTGTGACCGATTATTTGACCAAAAATGACATTTTAACCATTAACCACTAGCCGTATTCACCTGATATGGCACCGTGCGACTTCTACCTTTTCGGAAAAATGCATTTGCCCATGAAAGGAAAGCGTTATGCAGACGTAGAGGCCATTCAAAAGGCTTGCACCGGCATACTGGCGGCCATACCGGCCAACGAGCTAAAACACTCGTTCGACATGCTTTTGGATCGTGCAAAAAGCTGTATTGAAGCAAAAGGAGACTATTTTGAATAAAATAAATTGAGTTTGCCGAAAAAACCGTTTGTTCTGTTGTTTTTTTTTAAGTCCTGTTTACTTTGGAACACACCTTGTATATCATTTGTCAAAGGTCTGTCACCTCATATGTACAAGTAAGATGCTGACCACGACTGACTGACTTCGAATAGAACTAGTAGGCTTTGATTTTACTTTTTAACCATTGAACATTGACACCGCCTTAACTTCTCAGTATAGAATACGGCTTTGTAGAGAAAGCATCTCACATTTTACAAGTAAATTTATTCGAATATAATTTTTTTTTTAAATATATTTTTTTTATTTTTTATTTTTATTGTTCTTTGATTTGCTTCTTTTCTTTCTTAAGGCTTACGAAAATTCTTTGCCAACCCAGAGTATTTGTAGCTATGGATTTTAATTGATCGGCACAAGTATCTAAATGATTGGGCATTTCCTCAGGCAGCACACGGTGTGTGACGTTGTATTTTCAAACGGCTAGAGGTGGTGCGCAATAATTCTGCAAACATTTCAAAATATAGCCCGGCATTCGCCGCAGGAAAATGCGATGGTTTTTATTATAGGGAGGGAGGGAGGTTAGACATCTTAAAGAGTGGCAGAAAATGAAAGAGTCTGAGAAGTTGTTGGTATGGAAGACGCGAACAACTATTGCCACGAACCAGTACAAGGAGGAAATGAAAGATCAACCCCAACGGCAGACTGCAATTAATAAATTAATTAGTAAACTCTCCACAAAAAATAAATTTAAAAAAGTAATGCGGCACTACTATTTCATTGAACACAACTGTAAATAGATAAGTAACATTTAATATCGCTCAAAAATATACATATGTACACAGAGCATTATTGTATATACATATGTATGTATAGATCTTTAGTGAGTTCCCTACGAGTGAGTAAAAATCTGCTCCAGAAACTCCGTTAATAATAAGTACACCACACGTCGTCGTTTTAATCAATGGAGTACAATATTTATTCATGTGCAAATTAAATCAAATTAAATTAAAGCTTATTCATAACTTGTTTACAACGTCTGCTCGCTTCCGAAGTCAAACTCTTACTACTAAAACGATATACCTTCTTAGACTACCCTGGACTGACCAACCCGATAGTCCGATGATTATCTGCTGGTCCAAGAGCTGCCAACCCTACATGTATGTATAAGTGTATAATAACTCTAAGTATTAGTGCATATGTGAGACTATAGATTTTTGCATAAACACTTGACTTTTCTTAGAACAATCTTCATTTTACAGAGTCAGTCTACGGTGCTCGACATTTATGAATCCTCTCAGAGAAATTGGAGATACTACTGCATTAAATTTTTGTTTGCAGCAATGTCTTAATTTTTCGTATCATGGCCTTTGAAAGCTAGCTATATTACTTAGGATATGTTGGATTGCGCGATTAGAACTACAAATTAGATCCATGACGAAGGTACATTCTATGTAGCGCAAATGTGGCAAAAACACCAATCCATTAAAAATATTTTTTATTTTTTATTTTCACTTATCGAATGAAGTAGACACAAAATTCTAAATGATGGTCAGCAGAAGCCCAAGAAGCCTATCAAAATATTTGTAAATATACAATTTCCAATCTAAGTGCTAGATTCATAGAAATATAACTAAACGGATCCAGTTCTATAAACAAAATATGAAATCGGATAAGTATACGTGTAAGCGGAAACTGATTTCCCGCATTTATTGATGACAGAATAAAACCCAGAAAAAATGTAGGAATTAAACGTCATACGATTTTCTCGAAGTTATTTGAACTTCAAAAACAAAATATTCCACACACATATTTGTGAACAAGAAAATATAGTATTCAATATTTTCAAGATGTCGCTTGAAGAGGTGAGTGCTGCAGATCTTGTGGAGGCGTTGAGTGCTCTACCATCATATCCCATTCCAGTTGAAGGCCGAACTGGCCGAGTTCGACAAGTTCTTGAAGCTGGCCCGTTGTGCGGGTGTTAAGAATATTCTCGGCCAGGCTAAGATGGAAACTGAGCGCAAAATAGTAGACTTGGAGATAGAAGAGAGCAACGCTGCTGCTGCTGCGGACAGCAATAGCAAAAGGTATGAGTAACAAGAAGTCCGTAAATAATAATATAATGTAAAATTTATTTACAGATATCTACATGAACTCACCGATTATGGTTGGGATCAGAGCGACAAGTTCATCAAAATGTTTATCACGCTAAATGGCGTACAGAGGTGTCCAGAGAATGCTGTCACCTTACACTATAGTGGATCGTCCTTACAGTTGCTCGTGCGTAATCTCAAAGGAAAGGATTACAGCCTGACTGTCAACAATTTGCTCCATTCTATCGATATTGAGAAGAGCTATCGCAAACTAAAGACCGATTTGGTGGCCATTTACCTGAAGAAGGTCGAGGAGGGCGTCCACTGGGATGTGCTTACTGTAATGCAGAAGCGGACAAATAAAATGAAGGACATCAAGATAGACGAGAAACAGATGAGTCCTGAGTACGCTCTGGCCAAAATTATGAAGAAATTGTATACTGATGGTGATCAGAGGACCAAGCAAATGGTTGAGAAGGCTTGGACTGACAGCCAAAAGGCTCGTCTACAGAATGTTTTAATGTGAAACCCCCACACACAACCCCACTCCTCTACATTAGCAGCATTTAAAAACATACTTGACATTGTTTTGCGTTCTATATAGCCAAGCTCCGATTTCAATACCTGACAACTTCAAATAAAGCAGAGCAAATATAAGAAAATTAATTTAAGCTCTTTTTTATAGATCTTTTATATAGAAGATACGAATAAGATCTGGGAAATAGAAAATTAAATTGAACGAATAATAAATGGGTACCAAATTAGTTGTACAAGTATGTTCTTCCAAGTTACCTGTAGCCTGTCTTTACTTCAGCATCAACTGTAAAATATTTATCATGATCGATCCAATAGTTTGGACGCCAGTAAAGAAGACATAGACAGTGATTTTAATAAATAATGTAAAGATGAACTAATATGATTAAATCAGTTATTATTGGTTGATGTGGAGACAAACAAAGATATCGATCGGTAAATACTTTCTGAAGGTATACGATTTAAAGCTTATTGAAGTATTGCAGAGCTCGAAACGAACTTTGAATGAGAACTTGTAATGAAAATGTTACTCAAGAAAAGCTCTTTAAATTATATACTTATCTATTATTATTTGAGTATTTTAATTGTTATTTATTATTATTTTAATTTTAATCTAATTTTACTTGCTTTTGATTTTATTTTATTTTTTTCTTTATTTATATTTCTTTTTTGTTAGCTCTAATAACGTCACCGACCTTTTGGCAAATAAAAGTCGAAAATTTTTGCAATTTCTATAGACTTTTTTATTTTTTCGTTTCATTTCATTTAGTTTAAGTTTGTTGATGAAATAAATAAATCAGCGCCATATTTGCTACAGAAAGCCAGGCAGGTCTAATACACGCTTTTGAAATGGAGAGGGGTAGTTCCTTTTCGAACAGTTGGAAGACCTTTTGCACTTGTCAGACGATTTCGATTAATTTAATTATTGTTTGTTATACTTGGCATGGAATGGCTGGCTGCTGATCAACACTGCTTTCCATTTGCAACTCGTTGTCTAGCATTGTCTATTGTCTATTGTTCTTGGCAGGACTAACGGCAATTTCCATTTTTTCTGCACTCTTTCTATTCTTTTATTCACTGAGACAGGCAGTTCAATAATAAAATGGCCACGCTTAAGCCTTTAAGTTAGCAATTACAATGAAAATTGATTTTATTTCGCTCGCCTCAGGCATTGTTTTCCACGCTTTCTCTCTCTCACTCTCTTTCTCTCTCTGCCATTTTTCCGTCTTGTGTGTGTGTGTGTGTGTGTTTTGCTTGCTTTTATATGAAAGACTAGTTGCCATTCACTTTGTTCGTTTTCCCCCGCAAGATATATGCACATACATATGTACATGTTTGTTTGTGTGCGTGTTTGTCGTGCTAGGTCGCGCCATCGTTGCTTACATGTCTCTGCTAAAGTGCCGAATGTACATAATTCTAGTGGATTAGGGCTTAGTTTATCAGCGTTTTCAGTGGAAATGCCAAGGTCAAGCTCATAAGCGCGTTGTCGTGCTACTGTAAGACGAGGATTTGCTTGTGTGTGTGTGTGTGTGTGCGCACGCTTATGGCACGCTGAACCTATTGTCAGTGCTTAGCCACAATAAATTAAATATTGCCCGACACGCTTCTAATGTCCTGATGTCCTGCAGCCTGCAACCGGCAGCCAACCAGCTGTTCAGCACGTGAGAAACTATATATAACCAAACAATAATATTAATTTGATATTGTTTGGTCAAGAAAATTTTTTTGATCATGGTTTTGGCTAGTCTCTGATCTTAGGAAAATGAAAATGATTGTCAGGATAATGATAATAAAGTCTTTGTGTTCTCTATAAAAGCTGAAGGTTCTTCTGTTTCGCTTTGAAGTTTGTAGATACTGAAGTGAAAATATATGAAAATGAAAACAAATCGAAATACATATATCAAAATATTATTCATTCGTAGCAGAATACAGTATTTTAAAGAAATGGAGAGACTTTCAATTCGAGAGAGACAGTTGGTGGTTTCTTGCCGATAGTATTGATGCCTTAATAGCTATGGATATTACGATTTTTTTGTTACATTCAACAATCAAGTTAAGAAGTGCTCTTTTAGGGATCCGTGTGTTGATCCGTAATTCCAGTAGTTTGCAGCTTTGCTGGACCTTATATAGGAATGTATTAAGTATTTCGAATATTCTTATTGATGTAATATTTTCAGTCGCTGCGATGCTGTCGCATTCGCTATTAACATACCATTATGTCAATGCAGAGCATGAGAGAGGGAAAAGGAAAGAAGCCGCAAATCAAGGGAATGCGAAGAACGAAAGATAGGATGTGAGAGAGAGGGGGGGAGGCTAGAGAGGAAACAGCATTTCAAGGGCAAGGCCAATGCCACATCCATTTGTCATCATTCAGCGAATGGGCAGCCGAGCTGACAGGCAGGATGACAATGAGCTGCCACACGGATAGACAGACAAATAAGGAGTCTGTCCAAGTGCCAGGCAATCCTGCAAAAGTCGTTGTTTTGATTTAACGACTACGCTCTGCTGCAATCAAAAGATCATACACTCGTACAAACACACACACACTTACCCTCTCCCATTGTCTGTTCGCTGTCTGGGCGAGCAATAAAACATAAGTCAGACATTGAAATCTGCTTATTTTGCTTAATGTGTGTGTTTGTGGCCATAAAGAGAATTAAGGAGTGGAGCGAAGGTGGGCGAAAGAAAGAAAAAACTTACTGGCAAGCAATTGCCCAGACAATGCACAGAACTACTGAGTGCTAAGCAGCCTCTTTTATGATTATGACGAAAGGCTCTTTGCCCAAAACTGCAATGAAAATCGACAGCACGTGTCCATGAATAATGGCAGCAGTATCGTTTACCTACACACACGCACACGCACACACACTCGCTTACACACATGCTCGTATGCTTTGTGAGCTTTGCGCCAGAGAGTATGCAACAAACGAGTAAATTTCATGCGTTGCATGCCACACGCAACTTTGTGCCATTCGATGTGTTTTTATTCGCTTTTAATGCACACTTCAGATTTGCTTCGTTGTTGCTTCTCTGTAGCTTCTCTGTTGCTTCTCTGTTGCGTGCAGCATTGCCAATATAGCCAGCCACAAACTTCAATTCCAGGCCATGAAGTTTTACTGCCGATGCATCTGCCTTGAGTGCCTCATTGCATGCAACGTCACGTGTGTTGCATCCAGGGCCTGCCACTTCAATTCCGAGCTCTCTGTGCTGCAACTGAAAACATTTACGATCGTAGCCAACGCCTTAACAACTATATTGCCATGTTACTTAGTGTGCGGAAAGTAAGACACAAATATTTAATCTTTATGCGACACTTTGTTGACATACAAAATAGGCCATTTATATGATGTACTTAGCATCAAAGTAGCTAACAGGGTACTGCCCCGTTCTTACTCGATTCGCATCATAAATCATCATTAAAAATCATCATTGTGTGGCCTCAGCCACTTTCTTGCTCGACATTAAAGGGCATTAAAGGGAAAGAGTTTACATCGAGCGAAGTTTTCAAAAAGCAAGCAAGTTTTTTGGTTCGTTTTTAAGAACTTATTACATTTTGAGCTGAAATAAAGCCTCACTTTTCAGAATAATAACTTAATTCCTCACTAATATAGACATCTATTGGTAAATCTATTGGTATATGAAAAGTATTTCTTATAAGAGGCCATCCAGACGACCTCCTCTATCAACCAAACCTTGGTATTATTTATGACCAGAGATCTTTATCAATAATACAGTTATCGTTCGATATTAGTTCTTTAGAAAAAATGGAGTTGAGCAATGTCAGAAGATATTTGTTTTTAAAGGGCAATACGCCTACGAAAACGAGATGCATGCTATATATGGAAAATCTTATTTTATCATTTAACATTTTAGAATTAAAACGTGGACTTTTTGGAGAGGTTGAAGTAGTGGGATCATTGCAGACTACAAAGGAGACTTTGTTGAAAAAAAATAAATAAATTTTAGTATGGTCTTGGCATGGCTCAATGAGCTTAATGAGCTAGCAGGAATCCCATAACATGTGTTTGATCCTGGGTATGCACACAATGTCAAGATCCTCATAAAATTTAATAACTGTCCTACCTATCACAGATCTTAAATAAGGATTAAAGACTTCCCTAGAAACATTTCGGCCGCCCTTAATGAGGCTATTCCACATCTCATTTAAGTATTATTCCAATTCACCGTTTAAACTGAAAATTACCCAAACGCAATACCTATTATGTCGATAAATATTTAAATTACATGCAAGCGGCGCTACTTATTATACATACTTATATATAATATAAGTTCTCTCATATTCTTTTCTATCTCAGCAGGAAAGATGATTTCAGGCACAAGACGAAATCGAAGTCTCACTCGCTGGCGATGCATCGTCTTTCTTGTGCGTTGTAGTTTGCATAACTGTTAATTTGATTATTATGTTGGCAAGGGACCGACGACACATATATGTACATATGTATATAAGTATAGGTATATAGTATATACGAGTGTGTGGATTAAGCTGCGACTCATCACTGTCGCCATCAGCATTAACAGCAACAACAATCAACGTTGTCGTCAACAATATTATGTCAGCTCTGGTATGTACATGTGTTTGTGTGTGTGTGCTTGTGTAAGTTACTTTAAAATTGCATTGGCAAGCTAACAGAAATTGTTGTTAAAGTCACTTTGGCCTTGTAATTTCATAAATTGCGTAATTCCATTGGCGGCCAAGTCTTCAAAAGGCAAACCGACAACCGAGAACCGACAAGCTTCGTTGCCTCTGAAAGTGAAGTAGTGGGGGAGTCCGGCGGGGTGGGGTGGGGCGAGTCTGGAGGGAGTGTGGGTTGTGTGGGATGTGGCTGAGTGCGTGTTGCCTGCTGCATTATTCATTGAGTTCATTTAGCAGAAGCTTCCCCAGCAATTGCCCTTGCGATTGAGCGCAAATCAAATGATGATGAAGAATGTCGCTGACGAAGCGACGACTGTGCCAAAGAAATCAGTTGCATCGGTTTATAAAACAGCAGCCTCCCCCATGAACTCCAATTGACACGTGATTGGAAGGGAGGTCTGTTACATTTCGTATGTGTGTGTGTGTGTGTGTGTGTGGCTTACATTAAGAAAGCACAAGGTCGCCCATCAAATGATTG